CTCCTCCTCTCTCTACTCCTCCATCATCACACCCCTCCCCCTCTCTCTACTCCTCCATCATCACACCCCCTCCTCCTCTCTCTACTCCTCCATCATCACCCCCTCCTCCCAGCTCTACTCACCATCATCACACCCACCTCCTTCTACTCAATCTAATTCTCCACTATAATCACACCCTCCTCCTCCACTCCCTTCTTCCTCTACTTCTCCCTCTACTTCTCCACCATCACCACATCCTCCTTCTCTCTCTGCTCCTTCACCATCACCATCACCACTCTTTTCTCCGCCTCCTCCCTCTGTTTCCCCACTACCATCACACTCTCCTCCCCCTTCTCCCTCTATGTCTCCACCATCATCACATCCTCCTCCTCCTCCCGTCCTCCTGATCCTCATTTGTGGTAAAGTCGTAGACTATAAAAGAAATCGTCATAAAATAACACTACACAACCAGAACAACAACACGACAAGAACAATGGTTGGAAATGCTCAATTGCTAGCCCATCTTGTGTTAGAAGAGACGTGGAGCTCAAAACCAACAGAGAGACAAGGCATACCATGGCCGGGTTGTGCGACGTGAGGAAACAGAGGACGATGAAGGCCGCCAGACCAGCCACAGACAAAAGATTTCTCGGTGTGTCCAGAGCCACTAGCACGATGATCAAAGTGACCATTCCGACAGCGCTGACTATATACAGTATCCTGTGGAGGGAGGGAGGGGGGCACAGTTAATGTGTATGAATGGATAAATAGAATGAAGAATAGCTAAAACTACTAGGTACCAGGTAAATAGATTGACGAATAACAACAGTTATAAGTAAATAAACTGACGAGTAGCAACAAACTAAGGTAATTATAATAGGGCCTACACGGATGAATAGATTAAACAAATGGGTAAATACAATCTAGCACACACTCAACGAAACACGTACAAAGCGAACAGATTTTTCAGGACTCAAACGTTTTCTGTCCTGTATATTATTTCTATTTAAAACACGTACATAGCGACATTCGTACATAACGAAAAGATTTCCACGTCCCGCTGATTTCGGTATGTGCGTACTAGACTGTAGACTGAAAAAACCCCTCTATCAATTGATAAATAGATTGATGAATACATAGCAAAATTAATAGGTAAATGGGCTAACAAAGGCGCTTGAACTAATAGGTAATAGACTGATAAAAGGCTGAAATAGTTTGATGAATAGCATATATCAATGGGTAAACAGATAGACAAGCAGTTCAAATACAATAGTGAATATATTGCGAAGGACAGCCTGCATTATTGGATAGGTAGATGGAAGCATAAACTAATTTGTAAATAGGTTGATTAATTTTTTATTTTAGTGGCTCTCGCAACTGTATAAGGTCATATGAGCGCCAAGGGGTGGATGCCAACAAAGAAGTCCTTACAGGGAATCAGACATACTCCGCTCATCTCTCTAGCTTCAACAGCACAAGGTCTGCTTCGACTATCAAGACACCCCGGAAATAGAGGGTCACAAGAGTGTGACAAACATACAAAAGAAGTAGAAGAAAAATGACGATAGTAAGGATTAGAAAAGAAAAAGCAGCAGTTCCCTGTTGCAGTTCAAGCACAGTTATGGGCATGCCATCGATGAATCAGCCCATTTACAATTCTACTGCGCATAAGAACAGGTTATTGTCCCCCCTTAGTAATGGCCTAAAGACACTTCAGGCAGTAGCACCGCCCCGGGGGATAAGGTTGATGAATGAATATAAAGTAGAAGACACATTACACGAATAAATGGGTAAATAGAATTAAATAAGCAACTGAACAAAATAATTTGAGATAGATGTAATACATTTAGTATAAAAAAACAACCAAAACAACTGCAAAACAACAACAACAACAAAAAACACCAAAAAACAAACAAACAACCCCACTACCACCAACAAAAATCAACAACAAGAACAAAACAACAAAAATTAAAACAAAACAAATATAAAACCAAACAAAGTTGATCATTTCGTTTGTCATATTTTCAAATACACATTGCAGCCTAAATCGTCTAGGATGGCAACCCATTGTCGAAGAGAAAAATAATTGTCTTAGACAAGTGGACGCCTTAACCAGTGTCATAATAATGGTTTTAAAAATACACAAGCTGGAAAATGGGAAGCGGCCTTTGGTACAGGTGATTGTCTTATACAGGTAGCTGTTAGAGCAGGTTCCAGTGTATAAGAACACTCACCAGGGGGCTCTCGTGGTCTAGAGGTTACGGTGTTCGCCTCCCATTCAATTTAATAGATCCCAGGTTTGAAACCTCACAGCAACGGAACATTTCCTGTTTTAAAATTTTATCCTTTCACCTCCTTTCCTGCTCCCTAACCATGTTCTGTCGTCTGCTTTCGTCTCCATTTTGTGCATCCCCCCCCCCTTGACCCCCTACTCTTTAGTTTTAGTAAGATTTTACGCCTCTCGCAACTGCATAAGGTCGTATTGAGCGCCATCCCCTACTCTGGGCTTCGGACTCTTTCTGCAGTCTTTCTACAGCTACTCCTTGGCTCCTAATTACTGCTGTGTTGCAGCCACACCCCTGATCTTATGGTAGGTAAGATCTAGCCTTTTCGGATAAGGGCAAAATATCTCGGATGTCCCGTGTGCAAGTTGCGCACGATAAAGATCCCTTGGTGATCCAAAATCGATAAGAGTAGATCTATACTTTGGCCGCCACCCGGGCAAACTTCAAAATTCTTGCCAACTGAAAATGTTTAATGTGTCCCGAGCCCTCATATGACCTTACGAAGTTGCGAGCGCCGTGAAACACCTACCAAAACAAACAAAACAAAACAAAACAGAACACTCACCATCGGATGATCCGTCGTGTTTTCGAGTAGTGAGGATCGTGCAGGAAATGGCCAGCTTTTTCCGACACCACTGCTACATGATTACGCAAAAGGTGGAGCGCCAAAAGCAGGAAACCGAAAAGAGTGCACACAAGGAGGCGGATTGATCCCTCATCACCAAACCGGTACACCATAGCATATATGAAGTACGCGATGTAGAGGATCAGAAGGACAATGAGGATAACTTGCCAAATCGCCGCCTGCCAAGAGATCATGAGACAGATCATTTAAATGTTATTTAAAGGGTGTATGCTTCAATCGATGTGACTTTAGATTACTTGTGTAATTATGTATACAAATGTATATACGTATACATGTATATATATAATATATTGTCCTAAGAGCGCGCACCCACATGTATGTGATTGCCTAAGTGGACATGGAGATGGAAGGGAGAAGTGGATAAAATTAGGGAAAATGAGAGAGAGAGAGAGAGAGAGAGAGAGAGAGAG